ATAAGAATTAGAAATAAATAATAATTGATAATAAAAAGAATAATGAATTATGCTTTATTTTCTTGTAATATCTTTGAAATAGTAATTCTTATATTTTCATTTTTAATACCAAATAATAAGAATTGACTACATAATGCTAATATTGCATCTTTTTCTCTTTCTCCTTTGATAAGTTCTAAAGCATATGGTTCATCTTGCATTTGTAAAACTAGTCCTAGTCTTTTCCTTGGATTTTGTATCATTTTAAGGAATTTATTTCTAATATCTAATTGTTCTGCACGATGTGCAGTTAATGCAAGTAATTCACATGCAAAAGGTTCTAATTTTTTAATAGAAAGGAATTGTTCAAGTCTTTTCTTTTGTTCATCTTTATTACCAATTTCTTCTATTACAGCAATTTTAGCACGAAGTATAATTTTGTCATCCACTTCCATTGATTGTTTAAAAGTATTGACATTCCTTTCTACTTCTTTTTGGTCCATTTCAAATCCTCGATAGAATGACATGCATTGTTGATAAATAGAATCACTAGGAACTCCACTAACATTTTCACTACTTTTAATAATTTTTTCAGCCATTTCTTTATAAGACTTATCTCCATGAATTTCCCAAATCCATGTAGATTCATCTAAATAGGTTCTTTGTAAGAATTGAACACCTGTAGAAAATTGAGATGTTGCAGTACTAATTTTCATTAATTGATCTTTATTTATTCTTTGATTGTTTAGTAATGATTCAAATAATAAATATTGGTCACTCCATCTTTGAAATAGAGCAAATGATGATTGTTGAATAACAGTATCAAATTGTGCACAGAATTTAAGAATATTTAAATTACCATCAACAGTTTGAATAATACTACTACAAGGTGTTTCAAGAATACTTCTCAATTGTGGTAATCCATTGAAATCAATTACATCATCATTGGTCATTACTTTATTAAGTAATGAACAAAAACTATATGAATCACTATATGCAATACATATTTTCGCAAGATATGTTAAATACATATGTCTTTGTTTTTGAGTTAAACTAGTTGGTAAATTACGAATGATCATATCACGACAAATATTAGAAATTGACGCTATTTCACAAATTATTTCTATTTGTGGTTTCTTTAAACATACATTAATTACTCTTAATAATGATGGTTGTGATAATTGACTCATATGTTGTTTAAATCGTGGAATGTCAGAATCAATTCCACATGCTATTCTTCTTGCTTTTCTATAACACCATTGTTCTTCTAATGACTCAATAGACATATCACATTCTGTTGACCAAACATTACATAAAGAAAAAAGGTTAAGAGAAACTAAAATACATTGAACTGGATGTCTATAAAATTCAGAACATCTTTTAGTATGATTATGTAATGGATCTTTAGTTCTACATCGTTCAATAGCTGCAAGACTATAAAATTCTTTATAAGTCATCATACATCCATTATTATTCATTGTATGTAATAAACGAAGTAATTTAACAATTGTCTGCATAAATGGCGATCCTTTTTTAGCATCTTCTGGAGATGCAAGCATTAATCCATATGATGCACATCTCATTAATTGAATTTGACGTTCATCTGATGGTGGAAGAGATAATGCAGCTTTACAAACTATTTCTATTGATTCATAAACATGTTCAGAAAATTTATTTACAAATGATGCATCTTCTGGTTTAATAAATGATTGCCAAAGATAAGAAGCAGGTGAGTCTTGATTTAATTTCCTTAAATCAGGGTCATATGGACAGTATATTGCATTAACATATTTCTTTTCATTTTCAATTTCTTCTAGACAATGAAATCTAATTCCATCAACTTCTTGAATTATACAGTACACATGATCTATAGTATCTATTAAATATTCATCAGTTTCTGTATTAATTGAATGAATTTGAAAGACATTTGGATATATTTCAACTCCAAATAAATCATTATCAATCCAAAAGAGTCTATTACTAGACCCAAGATGTGCTGTTTGATCAAAATTATATTCATATAGTAATTGTAATGTATAAGTATTTTGTGGAGCACTAATCATCTTTTCTTTATTATTTGGGTCTTTTATTTCAGTAATTCCTTTTACTGTTTCAAATTTATAAATATTAATTTCAAAATTTTGTGTTTTAATATCTTTTTGTAATGCTAATAATTGACTTCCATCATAACTAAATCCATATGATAAAATTTCTAAATTTTTCTTTGTTTCAGCAGAGAAATTTAATGGTAAAGAAATAAGATTTGGGAATTTAAAATAAAAAAATAAATTCTCTGCCATATAAGCAATACCATTTTCATTTAAAAATATACCAATTAATGTATTTGCAAATCTATTATAATGTAATAATATTTCACTTGTTTCAGGAAACATTTTTCTTGTAAATTCAATTCTATCTGTTTTTAAATTAAAGATTCCTGTTATAACAATTGAACGTTTAATTCGTTCTTGTTTTTCTGGATTAACTACTTCTACTCCAAGTAATAACACAACACCTAATCCATAAATATATGCATTTAATAATTTTGGATTTCCTTGTCTAAATTTTGTTTTAGAATATGTATCATCAAGAACAACTAAATTTCCATCTGTTGTATAAATATGAATATATCTGTTTCTTGTTATAACAACTATTCGATAATCATCTAACCATCCTGCTTTATAAATATTATCTCCACTTTCTAATTCAACAATTTCTATATCATTTATTCTATTTCCTTTACCATCAGCAATAGAAATACTTGGTTTACTTTTTCCTCCACTACTAATTTTATTTGGATCAGGATAATATAAAATTGGTCCTCCTGCTTTACTACAAACATAAATATGATTTTCTCGATTAACCATTTTTACTTTAATTGGTTCTTCTGTATAAATAACTGCTTTTAATACTGTTTTTGATTCAATTAAATCTGGCTCCATTTCTAAACTACTTTTCTATCCTTTTTTAGTTCTTTTTTATTTTTCTTCTTTTTTATTTCTTGAAAAATATTCTTCTTTACAACAAAAAATCAATTTCATACAATATCTCTTTTTTATTCTTCCTATTTTCTTTTATCATTTTAGTAATGGTGTTGTTTCATTAGTTAGTGGTTGTTGTTTATTCTTAATAACAGGAGACAAAACCCCAGCATGTGTTGAGTTTGTTGTTGAATTGACTTTAACTTCAACAAATTGTTGTTCATTTGGAAGTACTTTTGAAGCAGAGACTTGAGGATGTGGTAAACATGTTTGAGACGTTGCTGTTTTATGAGGGTTTTCTGGTGATGATATTTCATATCGGAGCTGGACGTTAGTTTGTCATAATAAAAAGACAAAGAAAGTCACAAACAAATGGAGGTTGTTCTGTTGTAATCAAACACATTGAATGACCTGGTGGTAAAGTTGATGAATTGTTATTTAAATATTCAGTGACACATCTAATTCCATCTGATGTCCCATGGTACATTGTGTGTGTTGTTTTACAACATGGAATACGTCCAGTAACAAGTACTGATTTAGTAATACATGATTGAAGTAGTAAATTGATTGAATGAATATATTTAGTATATTCCATAGGCTCAATTTTACCGTTTAATTCATTAGGAATAATTTCACTAAATGATAATGGACAATGGAATGTGTATGTCACAGATGGAATGATAATGATGGTTTTACTCATAATTTTAACTTTATTAAGAATTTTTAATTC